AGGTCCAAACCAGGTTTAAAAAAGGTCTAAACCAGGTCTGCCGCGTTCCAAACAGGAAGTGTGCACAGACTCCTCAGTCTGACCGTCACATGTTGGTCTGAAGTTGCTCTACATGATCCTCCAGGTTTTATTTCTCTGCTTTATCTCGAAATCAAGATATGAGCGTAAATAAAAGACCAATCAGACACCTTCTTTTGTCAAAGCCGCTCTCACTAATGTTTGATTAACACTGTATCATGTGCCCGCTCCCTAAAAACATGAGCAAACACACCACACACACACACACACACGCACCACACCCACAGACATGTACACACACCCACACAAGACATACCTGTGTGAAGTTGGCCCTCCATCAAACACACACTTACACAAAAAAGATGTCAATCATTTGTGCTCCATTTCTGTTGCATAAAGTTTCGTTTGTGCTGCTTTAGTTCTGAAGATATTAATGATTCTTTTACAGGTCAAATTCATGCATCAAGAATCTCGGACTTCTGGTCATCGCGCAATTCAGACTGGGAAGGATTTTCCAAAAAAGTGAGCATCAAACCTCCATGTTTGTTTTCCCAGTGGGATGTGTCTATTGTCAAAGTCGATCTTTTCAAGTCTTTTGAACCATATCACTTTTGTTTCTGGTTCTGATATTGTCATATTTTAGTTTTGGGATTTGGACATCGTAATTGTGTTTTCCGTCCAAATTTTTCAATTCCGTTGGGAAGAGAAACAGTTTGAACGGAGGTTTGAGTCACACACATCTGATTCACTTTTGCATTTATGGAGTTCGCAAACAAATTTCTCAAGTCGTTTTCCGCCGTTAGGATCCAACAACCACACAATTACGATGTCCGAATCCCAAAACTAAAATATGACAATATCAGAACCAAAAACAAAAGTGATATGGTTCAAAAGACTTGAAAAGATCGACTTTGACAATAGACACATCCCACTGGGAAAACAAACATGGAGGTTTGATGCTCACTTTTTCGGAAAATCCTTCCCAGTATGAACTGCGCGATGACCAGAAGTCCGAGATTCGTGATGCATGTATTGGGGTCAGCAGCCTCCAGGAAACTTCAAAATTCTCTAAAATGACACAAAATGGAGTCAATCGTTTGTGCTTCGTTTGTGCTGCAGAAATTTTCATTTGTGCGATTCTGGTTCTTCAGATTTTGGCAGTTTTATTTTCAGCTAATGACGTCATCGAGCTCCTCAAAATGTTAAAAAGCATCAAAACAGGCAGAAAATTATACGAAACAAAAAGATAAACGATGTGAGGCTGTGGAAAAGTCTGCATTATTTTATAAAATATGAATCAAAAGCAACTTACTAAAGACTTTTTGAGTTTGCTTCAGCTGCAAAAATAGTCATTAAAGGGATAGTTTGGGTTTTTTGACATAAATCTGTATGTCATCCCCATCAGCAGTGTCGTGCATCGGTGAGCCGAGATACTGGCCGTTTTCGGTGCTGTCACCTGGCGGTCGCACGCAGTGATACGAATGGAAAGAAAATAGTGCCAAGCGATTATGAGGTCTGACTTTTTGGAGGACGATGGTTTTGTGATGCAAATGTATCACTCTTTTGAACACATGTTGTTTTGAGAAGAAAAACGCTTTATTTTACTGTCCCCACACAACTTGCCGGACGACTTTCATCAGCACAGAAAACGGCCAGTATCTCGGCTCACCGGACGCTGTCGGGGGTAAAGTCAGTGTAGATGCACGACATTGCTCACGGGGAGGCCATACAGATTCATGTCAAAAAACCCGAACTATCCCTTTAAGAATTTTAGAAATAAACTCGCACAAATGAAAACAGTCACAACACAAAACAGCATAAACCAACTAAAAATGTTTCGTAGAATTTTCTGCTGTTTTGAGGCTGTTTAACATTTTGAGGGGCTGGACGACGTCAAAATAAAACTGCTAATATCTTAAGAACCAGAATCGCACAAACAAAACTTTTGGCAGCACAAAAGAAGCACAATTTTGAAGTATCTTGAAGCTTCCTGGAGGCTGCTGACCCCAATTTGACTTATAAAAGAATCGTTAATATCTCAGAAAAACTAAAGCAGCACAGACGATTGACTTTTTTTTGTGTGTATGTTTGCAAGACACTTGTGGAGTTACTCATTATCTGGGACCTTTTTATTGAACCGTCCACTCAAATCTTATCTCCCCATTAAACCAAAGCAAACATTTACGCAAACGTGTTTCGAAAATGTCTTCATTCTTTTTATTATTTACTGAACAAAGAGTGGACATAAAGCACAGGACGCTCTGGGACTTGAAACAGGAGGATTATATTTCTGTAACTGGAACACCTCACGTCTCTAAACCCTTTAAATGTGCCCAAAACAACATATCAGCATGTTTTATGAGTTTCAGATTAGTTCTTGATTCCCTTTGCTCCCCACACTAAGTCACCGCCCCCTTCAGAGCACGATCACAGCACACTAATGAAACTCGAGTCGCTGTGTACAGTTTTGTGTCGTGTTTTTTTTTTTTTTTTTAATATATATTGATGGAGAATTGTGGGCGGAGTCTTGCACTGCTAACCTGTAAGCTGGGTTTGAATAAAGCCCAGGAGAGATCACTAAATTACTGAAACATGCATGGATAACTCTCGAACCTCTTCAGGCAGATTTTTGATGAGGCAAAAACATTAGAACAAGAGAGAAAGAGACAATTTTGTGCAATATCTTTAAAGTTGTTGGGCCTCATTCATGAAACGTTCTTACAAAGAAATTTGTTCTGAGCCAAACCTCGTCACCGCGCCAGACGCAACATCCTCACCACTAGGGATGGGCATGATTAGTCAATGAATTGATAAATGATCATTAAGAATTTCATCGATTATGTTCATTTTTAAACGACGAACTGAATGTAGGTTGCTGTGCGTAGTGTAGGGAGACCAAACGTCCATGTCCGGGGACAAACGGGGGTCTGTATGAGATGCACGGATGGGCTATTTCTTCATCCGCAACCGCGACACAAAACTCATCATCCGCCCGCTGTCCATTTTGCACCGAAGGTTTTCAAAACCGCACCCGCCCGCCATCCGCCGATTGATTTTAGATTTTAGAACAATCATACAGCAAACAAAATAAGGAGCCTCGATAAAAATGCAAACTATAGCTCATTCATTTCAAAATTCGCTCAGCGTGTGTGTTCGCATTCTTAATTGTCCGTAACAACCCCAGACTTACCTGGTTTTCTTGTGCAGCTAATTAATTGACAACGTTTTCCGACGAGGCTGTTTTTGAACCTTGTTGCCTTCGTGTTGGATGTTGTTACATTCTGAACATTCTGCCATTGCCCGATGTTATTTCAAAGTCATAGCCTCACTCCATTGGTCTTTCTTTAAGTTTTAAAAACCCCGAGTGGCAGTTTACGCTATAATGTCTGCGTGTTTTAAAATATATCTGATATCGAAACAAAACAGACAGATCATCTCATCCAGATGAACCTTTATTGAAATCAGGCAATGCCCTCTTTATATTCCTAAATAAATATGTCCCTATAGCCACTTATGTGTTGGCAAACAGCTGAAATAAATTAGAAATAATAAAATAAACTGCATATAATATGTGCCTCGTAAACCTTAGGCATCAATAACCCGACACAACCTGAACCTTCAGAACATAAAAACGAGGTCAAATGGGCTAATTAAGGATATGACGTACACTTCATACTACAAGCCCACCCGCCCGAATTTAATTAAAATATAATTTTTCGTCACGTCATCCGCCTGACCCACGGATTAACCGCGGATACTGCGGTTGTAACCGCAATCCGTGCATCTCTAGTCTGTACATGTGTCTCTGCATCAGAAGGAGCGACACACAAACAGTCGGTCAGTCTGTAACGAACCGAAGCACAAATGGTCGGGACAAGTGAGAGCCACGTGCACAGTTTACACCACAGGTACATATGTTTCGGTGTCCAGTGGGAAAAATCTCACCAGGACACAGAAAACATGAAAAAGTTTTGCCAGGTGAGAGTCGCTCAGTGTCGATGACGAGGCCCCACCCCCCACCCCCCGCACGCTGTCCTGGTTTTGACAAATGCAAATATATATAAACTTAAAAGCGAACAACAGCGACACATTAGTGACAAACTGAACTAAACTCTTGTTATGGTCGTGAATAAAACAGAAGGAACTTGATTTCATTTCATGATGTGGATATTAGTACAGACAGAGAGATTTGTGCAGTTTGAATGCGATAAATCTCTTGGAAACCCTAATGTTATTGAACACCTCATGGTTTCCCTGCGCTGGAGGAAGTGAATGTGAAAAGGGAAGTATGCGAGTTCCTCAACAGACCGTTAACTCCACGACGGACGGATGGAGTTTAGTTCAGTTTGTCACTAAAGCTTCGTCGTTGTTGTTTCCTTTAAGTTTTCATCTTTCTTCTCTTGATCGTTGTGGATAAATTGTTCATGTTAGAATCTTTCTCCTTTGTGGAGTTTGTTGGTTGAAGATTTGGTGATGGAGCAGATTTATGAAACTACTGGAGAATACAACACACATTTACACACACATTTACACACACACTTACACATTTACACACACATTTACACACACACTTACACACACACACTTACACACACATTTACACACACATTTACACACACATTTACACACACACACTTACACACACATTTACACACACACTTACACACACACTTACACATTTACACACACATTTACACACACATTTACACACACACTTACACATTTACACACACATTTACACACACATTTACACAGAAAAACATTAACTGGAAGTTCAGCAAACCTACAGTGGGAAAATTCTGGCTGGTGTGAAAAACATCTATTGGCTGAGCCTCACCTACTCGTCTCTGATTGGCTGAGACTCACCTACTCATCTCTGATTGGCTGAGACTCACCTACTCGTCTCTGATTGGCTGAGACTCACCTACTCGTCTCTGATTGGCTGAGACTCACCTACTCGTCTCTGATTGGCTGAGACTCACCTGCTGGTCTCTGATTGGCTGTGGATGACGGGGTCGATGCTGAACGGAGACTCCAGGCGCACGCACAGCAGGTAGACGAGGAAGAGCGAGAAGGCCGTCCCCAGCCCCACCAGCAGGCGGCGCTGCAGAGCCATGCACACAGACGATTACTCCTGATGCCCTCCCAGAGCCACGCACAC